CGGACACCCCCGGAACTCCAGATCCCGGCACACCCGCGTGCCCGGACCCCCGTCCCGGAGCCTCCTGGGTTTTTTCACTCTCTTCTTTCCTTTCATCCCCAGTCCCCTCTTAGCCCCCGCCCAACACTGGCACAGGTTGCCCAGAGAAGCTGTGACTGCCCCATCCCTGCAAGTGTCCAAGGCCAGATTGGACCGGGCAACCTGGTCTAGTGGAAGGTGTCCCTGCCCATGGCAGGGGGTGCAACAAGATGAGTTTAAAGTCCCTTCCAACCCCAACCCTTCTACAATTCCTCGATCCCACAGCAGGCTCTGCCAAGCAGCCATGTCATCTCTGTCTGTTTTGTCACTGAAATGCACAAGCAGCCCCGGATGGAGCTGCTCCCACAACTTTTCAGAGCTCTCCAGACCCTTCCCCACACTAATCCTGGGATAGTTGGTTGGGCTTTCGTTTTTTCGTTTTTCCTTTCCCCTTCCCAGCAAAGGCTGACAGAGGGGGCTCGAAACATGATTCTGAGGTCAGAGTTGGGCTACTGGAGGATGGAGTCCAATCTATCTAAAATGTATGCTATTTTTCCTGTGGTTACAATTATTTTTAATACCAGTAATCTTTTACATGCCAAACTTCTCCACTTATTTCATAACTCAGAATAGTTGAAAGGAGGTTAATCAAACACCTGAATTAAATGTATTTTTATGCAAAAACTCAACATGGAAAATTTTAGCTGCAAACAGGAGTGTTCCAGGAGTTTGGCCCAAGTGGCACAGGCCATGACTGTGGTTCCCAGCCTGTAGACAGTGACATACAGGTGACCTCAGCTCCCTTGCTGCTCAGGCACAGCCCCCTGAGCAGGCTGGGAGCCTGCACACAACCTCCAGCCCAAGGTCTGAGATAGCTCACCTGGAGCCTGGGACACCCCAGAGGTGCCCAGGGATGGGGACCCTAGCTCAGGGCACAAGGGGGGCAGTGAAGACCTCACTCGGTGTGTCCCACCCCACCATGGGACCACCAGCATCAGTGTCTCCTTTGGGATCAGGCACAGATGGGCAGAGCTGGAAACAAACCATCCAGACTTGGTTCCAAGTGGCCGTGGATGGTCCATTGTCCAGTTTGTTCTGCCTAGAGGTAACCACTCCTGCATGTGCTGTACTCCAGTTTCAGTTTGGCTTGTCTCATCTCAGCCATCAGACTGGCATGCATTTTCACCTGCTGACCCAAGAGCCTCCTCCTAACAGCTCTGTTCCCACTTTCCGCTGTTACATTCTGATGTGTGACCAAATTACCCCTCACTCAGCATCATTTAAGTCATGCAGGCTGACGCAGTGCCCATGTCTTCTCCTAGAGCCTTTCCCAGAGTTCCAAGGTCCCCCTGCACCATGAGCAGTGGGAGCACGTGGGCCCCCACTGCCACCAGGGCCATGTTGCCACCATGGCTGGACATTTGGCTGCACAAGCAGCCACTGGCATGCCCCACACACCACTGGGATGTGCCAGTGCAGTGGCTGCTGCTGCACAAGCTGCTTGTGCATTCACAAGCAGTGTAGGTACAAGCAAGACCTCAACTCATCTAGTCCTTTGGCTCCCCTTTGTGAAATGGGGATCAGAGCACTTGTTTTGCAGAGGGGCCCTGCAGTTCAGTTCCTGAATATAAAGTGGTTTGAGCTGCTGTGGTGGAAGGTGCTGGGGATGGACAAAGGGGCACCAATGGCCCAAAACCGACGGAGCCCCAAGCAGTGTTCTCACCCAGTTGCACTGTGTTTGCTAAGCCAAGTGTGTAATCGGCACACACGGGAGACATGTTGGCTTGGGCTGTGTCACTCACAGCAGCTCAGAGCGCTCTCACTGCGAGCTCACGCTCCCCAAGAGGGGCTGTTGGCGTCTGCGCAGCCACGGAGGACGGGTGAGGAGCAGGCGAGGATGGAGTTGGCGGCAGCGGAAGCGCGAGATGGGTATCATCAGCACACAGCCATGGCGCCGTCCTCGGAACAGAGAACATCCAAACCTCCCTCCTCCCCCCACCCCTGCCCGCCAGCTCTCCCAAATGAAGTCCCAGCTTTGTTTTCCTGATTTCCATTTTGTATCCTAAAATATTCACTCCAAGTTCCGCTTGACAGACAGCCCTAATCTAATCTCCATGTCTGCTTTCTAATTTTCGCAGCCGGGATAAAACAAATTGGCTGGCGTTAATTGCCTGTGCAGCGGCCTGGAGCTCTGAGCCGTGATTTACGAGCTCGGAGCAGGCGCTCTGCAACACATTTTTCTTAATTTATTTTTAATGAGTCTCTCAATTAATTTTCTTGGAAACATCTTAATGATGTTGGAGGCGGGTGTTAATGAGGTTTGTACCAGTGCCTCATTTTGCATATTTTAAAGTTCTGAATGGCATCACGAGCAAACTCCTGGTCCTAAAACAGAAAAAAGGTTAAGGCTAGAGAGTGGCACCCGCCTGGGCTGACACTGCTGCCCTGGCTGAGGCTGAGGGGCTGCATGAGCTGGTTGGTGACTGTGAACATTGCAAGGTTGAAGCCAGCTGAGCTCACAGGGATGGCAGGACTTTGGCAGCATGGTGGGGCCAAGGGGCCACACTGGGGCATGGTTGGTGGCCAGATGCTTCTTAAGAGACAGAATGAAAGCCTGGACTCTGGACACTGAGACCTCCATGCTGGCATCCCCCATGTTGTGGACGTCCCATCCCCTGCATCCCCCTGGCCAGACCCTTTGGGTAGGAGTACCCTGGGACACAGGATGGGGCTACCTGAGGCTGGCAGCTGTTGGGTGCTCCAGGGTGTCTCTGCTGGCCCACAGGGTCCCCAGTAATTGCTGGTGTGTGTGTGCCAGCAAGAGGCAGCGGCAGGATCGCCTTTGTTTTCTCCCAGCATGTCAGTCTTCATTAAACCAGAGGGGAATGAAAAAGGATTCACTTTTGTCCCAGCCTGAACACGGCAGCTGTTTAATTTCAATTAACGTGGCACTGAAAAGAATAACATTACGGCAGTAATTAAAGTGAGACAACTCCCACCCCCAGGACTGTGGCTCACCGAGCAGAGGGGCCAATTTGACCACCCTGTCCCCTCAGCAGTAGTCAAGCTTAGGTGGGCAGCTGTGGGTCAGGGCTGAGGGGCTGCCCCACAGGCTCATAGAGAGCTGGAGCAGGGTCAAACCCTTCCAGACAGGCACTGCCCACAGCTCATCACGGTGTGGCACATGTGTTGGCACAATGCAGCATGGCATTGCATATGGCACAATGCAACATGGCACAGCACAGCACACAGCACGAGGCTCTGTACCCCAGGATGCTCTGTGCCCCATGGAGGCTCTGTGCCCCAGCTGTTGCTGCCTGAACAAGACTGAAATCCCTTGCAACTGGCAGAAATTATGGTCAAATTGTTGTGTTCTGGCTGGGGGGGTCAGCAGCCCTGTTAGCAGAACTGTTGGTGCTGCGCCTGCTCCCACCGCCTGTGGCTGCAACCCGCTGGTGGAGCAGGTCGTCATAGCAACCGATGATTTCTATTATGGTACATCTGCATTCACCTTCTGGGCCCAGCCTGGCCTTGGAAATTTCCAGTTAAAACGCTTACCTGTGAAAGTGCACTGAGTGTCAGCAAGGGACAGCACACAGCACAGGGAGCCCTGTGGCACCGGCACAGGCCAGCGGCAAGTCTGTGCCCACACTCAGGGTGCTGCTGGCACTCAGAGACCCGCTCTGCTGCTCTGAGCACCTGGGCACTGTGGAGTGGCCCCAGGCAGGGCGAGTCTATCGGCCACACACACACTCAGCCTTCTCTGGGCACACTCAGCCTCTGCTGGGGCCTGTGGTCTGTGGTTCCACCAGGACGTGCCCCTGCAGTGGGTCTCCCCGGCCCTGCCCTGAGCACGGGGTGCGAAGCAGAGGGGCCACACTGGGGAGGCTGCTGTGTCTGGCTGTCCCAGGGCACAGACCCAAGTGTGGCACCACTGCTCACCCCGCTGCCACCCAGCCCTGGCCGCAGGCCTGTGGCGTGTCCTGGGGCCAGCCGCAGGCTGAGTACAGCCTGAGGACAGGGCAGGGGCAGTGTGAGGGTGGCAAGGCCCCGCCATGGCAGGAGGGTGTTGCCGTGCCCTGGCCTAGTTCTGAGGATGATGCCCAGAACCTGGTGACCTCATGGTGGCAGACAGGGAAGTGCCACAGTGTGCTAGGGACACAGAGCGGTGAGGAGGATCATGGCCCAGGAAGACCGTGGTGAGGACTGTGGGCAGTGGTGGGGTCAGGGGCTGCTGAGGGGGGGCTGCAGTCCCACACAGCTCTACCATGCTTTTCTAGGAGTCCCAGGCTCGGCCTCTCCTGCTGGCACCAGGTGCTCCCCTGATGGGGAGTGGCAGTGCCAATGCCATGGGCTGGTGGGGCTGCCCCAGGCAGGGCTGGGTGACATGCCTGGGACTGAGGGTTGTCTGGCGTCACAGGAAAGGCCTGTCCCCTGTTGTGGTCCTTCCAGCAGTGAGGGATTGGCCAAAATGTGACACATCCAGGGAGGTTCCTGCACCTCAGGGCCAGTCTGAGGGTTCAAAGGTATCACTGTACAGGGCTACCAGGGGCAGAAGAGACAACACCAGAGCTGAGCGACTCCATCCAGCAGCTTCAGCAGGAGACAGAGGCCTGGCAGCCCCAGGTAAGTAGTGCCGACCCTGTGCTCCACCCGGGTGCTGGTCATGTGGCCACAGGTTGGTGGCCAGGTGGTACAGGAGACCTTGGTCAGCCTTGACTAAGCCACCAGACACCTTGTCCCCAGGGCTGGGGAGAGCACGAGGGCTTGGGGGTACCCAGTCTTGCTGTGGCTGCACTGGTCCCACGGCCACTGCTTCCCACAGTGCCACAGTTCATGCTGGTGTCACTGCAGTGGTGAGGGCCAGTGGTGTTGGGGGCTTGGCCATTTGTGAGCTCATGGGGGGCTGTGTGGGTCACACACACACACAGACAGGGTGATGCTGTCTGGGGGGGGGGGTAGGGTTGTACCCACCTATCAGCAACATGCTCTGTTGCTGCTCTGCACAAAATCAGGACTGCCAGCCTTGTCCAGCCCTGGTGTCTGCCCAGGCAGGAGCTGCAATATGGGTTGGCCACAGTGGCAAGCTGGACAGATGCTGCTCACACTATGTCCTAGAGCCAAAGGCAATTGTTGGTGCTGGAGCCACAGCCTGGGGAGCCCAGAGTATGCCAGGATACACAGCAGCAGGAGATGGAGCCAGCTGAGGTACTGGCCACGATACAGGCACTGCAGCGGGACCTGGACTTCTGCAGGGATGTGAACCGCAAGCGACTGGCCCAGCTGCAGCAGCAGGAGTGTGAAATGGAGCAGGAGCACCAGGACTTGGTCTCTCTGATGCAGCAGTGCCAGGTGCTGATAGACAAGGTACCACTGCTGGGCACAATAGCTGCAGGCCAAACTGCATGTGTCCCCCACTGCCTTCCCATAACAGGCTAGGCACCATGCCTGCCCCACAGCCTGTGCAAACAGCTGGTGACCCCCCATGGGAGGGTAGGGGATGTCCTGCCAGCCATGCAAGGGACAGGGCTGTAGCACCACACCCTGTACAGAGCAGCACAGTCACAGGGCAGGCATGGCTGGCACAACCCAGTCCACTCAGCTGAGCAGAGCTGGAAGACTGCAGCCCCCAATGGCCCCACTGACACCTTGGGCACTGTACCAGGGCTGGTGGCACTGCTGCAGCCTGCAACCTCCTCAGTGAGTTGGGATCACCACTCTCCCTGTGACCATGCTCTATCACAGGTCAGGGACCATGAGGATGGCCATTTAGAGCTGCTGGCTGTCCAGCAGACACTGCCACAACAGGGGGGGCTGCACAGGGATGAGAGGGCCAGAAAGAAGCCAGCAGCCTTCCTGCCTCCCACCTGGTGCAGGCCACATTCCTTTGCCACAGGCCCTCCCCCCACAGCTCATTGTCCATGGGTTGACACAAAGTGGCTCCACCTCCAGCCCCAGCTCTGCACAGCAGGGGCACAGGGTGATCCCACATCCTCCTGGATACCCACAGGTCAGTGATGCATCTCTCCACCTGAAGGACCAAGCGGTGCAGACAGAGGTCACCTCCAACGTGGCTGCTCACAGCCATTCTGTCACCAGCCACAATATCCCAGTGGAGAGCAGAAAGCTGCTCGAGCAGGTCAGTGCCAGCAACCCCCCAGCCACTGTATCAAGTCTGGGAGGAAGCAGTCTGGGGGGCACAGGAGCCAATACAGCCAGCGTCCCAAAACGTGCTGCAGGGCTGAGCCCTGCTCCACTTCCCCCAGAAATCCTGGGGCAGGGCGGGCGGTGGCAATGCCAGCTTTCCCCCACTGCTTCACACAGCCGGGCACCAGCTGGCTCAGAGCTCCCTGCGGCACAAAGAGGGCAGCTGTGCCCCTGCCCAGGGAAGGGCACACAGCATGAGGCCAACCCACCAACGCACTGCCTTCTCTGCAGCTGGAGACACAGGAGAACCAGGGCCCGCAGTACAGCCCAGCTCAGCTGCAGGAGCAGTTGGGAGCCACCGAGGCCCAGAAGCAGCAGAGTCTGCACCAGCTGAGTGGAGCTGAGGAGACCATCCAAGGCCCACACCAAGAAGTGGTAGAGCTGCAGCAACAGGTGAGGGCAGGGCAGGACAGGGATGCAGCCTCAGTGCCAGAGCTCTCTCCTGCCTCCAGGAGACACTCAGCCTGCCCATGGTGTAGCCAACCACTCTCCCTGCCCCACAGCTTTGCGGGCAGGTGCAGGGCACAGCCAACCTGCAGGAAGAACTGGCCCGAGCCCGGCGAGAGAGCACCAAGCAGGAGAAAAAGAGCGCAGTCCATAAGACACAACAGCAGCAGCTCCATCAGGGGCTGAGGAAGAGTTCTCAGCAGCAGAGCAAGCCGGAGGTAAGGATGTCTCAAGCCTTCCTGTGGGGCACCAGGAGCCTGTCCTCAGCCCATCTCTCTCACTGTGCCACTGGCATGTCTACTCCCTCCAGGAGAGGCTGCAGGACCTGAGCAGACAAGCCCAACACTGGCAGCAGCTACATGTGGACAGTGAGAGAGCTCTGGCTCTGCGAGAAGAGGAGCTGGTTGTCTGCAAGGTGGAGCTGGCTTTCCTTATGGAAGAGCTCAGCAAGGTGACAGAGCAGGTGGAGGATACAAACAGGCATTCAAGACACACCAGGCAGGATGCAGGAGAACCCACACCTCACAGTCAGAACACCTGAGCAGCCCCACAAGTGTCAGCAGCTGAAAAAGTGAGCAGAATCCCTTGCACAGCCTGGCCTGAAACAGGGCTGGGCCAACAGTCCCAGGTGTGCAGGGACAGCTGGGCACAAGCTACCTGCCAAGGGCATGGGCTGTGGGAGAACTGCCTTTGCACGAGTATGGGCTGGGGTTGAAACAGGGAGAGGCTGTATTTGTCCTTCAGGTCACTGAAATTCTGTGCCTTGTTCCAGGTTCTACAGGGCAACAACCTGACAGCACCAACCTTGCACAATTCTGCAGAGCTGCCTCCACCCAATACTTGTCTCTGGGACAAGAAGCAGCACAAAAGAAAGCAAGGATTAAGACTGACAACCTTTAAACAAATAAAATTCTTTCTGTTCTGTAGCAAAATTAGTGCCAAGCACCAAAGCCTTCCTGGGCCACAAGCTGTGGCCTCTCATAGAATACAGTGATCAGGGGAGTTGGGAACTCTCCTGAGACTCAGCTGCTCCCAGAAGTCCTTAAGTCTCAAAGCAACAGGTACTGCCATCTCAGAGGCCAAAGCGGGCTGGGGTGCGTCGTGGCGTCAGGGGCTCCCCCTGCTCCTTCCGCCCAGGGGTGTAGATTTTAGTAGATCTGTCAGAGACGACAAGGGTGATTAATGGAAAATGCAACCTTTCGCTGCGCCAGAATGCCCATGGGGAAGCTGGGATGCTTCATGCAGGCAAGCCATGGCCAGGCAGGGCCAGCACCCACCTTGCACTGCCCAGTGGGTTACGACGCTCCTGCTCCTCCCGGCGGGCACGCAGCTGCTCCTCCGCCAAAGCCATCTCCTCCTCCATGGCAGACACTTCCTCCTTGGCACGGCGGCGGTTCTCCTGGAGCAAGGCAGCAGCAGGTCAGGGACAAGAGAGGGATGGCCTGTTCCCTCCATGTCAAAACACACACACACAGCAATAGAATAGGCACGCAATGGGCCTACCATCTGCCAGCTCATCCTGAACAAGAGACTTACCTGGCGTGACTTGCCAGCATGTTTGATACTGTAGAACATGGGGCCCAGCTCTGCCAGCCACTCTCCATCCACAGCAGTGACACACTGCATGTATTCCTGCAGGGACAGAAGGGAAGACCAGCGTAGCAGGATGGTACTCTTGGGGCCTGGGCACTATGCACAGAGCCATGGCAGCTCCCTTTCTCCCCCACTTGCTGATGGCACTTCTCAGGCTGGAACCATACCCCTTCCAGACAATTCCTCCTGGCCTCAGAGGGCCCCCTGCTATGGGTTAGATTTGGTGAGACCACAAGGAGGTTCAAACATGTCCCACAGAGGCCAGGGAAAAATAGTGGGAAAGAGACAAATAGGACCCTGCAGATGACACAGATGTGCCTAGTTGGTAGAGATGGGAAAGGCTGAGAACTGCCACTCAGGCAGATTCCAGTCTCACAGCAAAGCCCTCCCATCTCCCTTGGAGCACTTGTCACCCCTCCTGGCAGCCCTCAGCTCAAGCTCACCTTTGTAGTCATAACCAATTCGTGATACACAATGTAGTCTGGTGTGTAGCCCATGCCAAACAGAGAGCTCGTGGGGTGCAGGTGGCAGGGCATGCCTGTGCGGATGTTCACATACTCCCCAATGCCCTGCAAAAACAAGTGTGCTTAGCCCACCTGTTCCCAGGCAGGACCTCACAGCCCCCAGGCAGCTCAAACACCTCTCACCTTCAGCTTTGCAGCCTGATGGAAATATGCAGCACAGATGCACTTCCTGACAACATCCCAGTCCGTACCACAGGACGCCAGGCTCATCCGTTGCTGCACCATAATGTCCTTGAGCTGGGCACGCACCTCCCGCACCTGCAAAGGTGTGTGCTAGTCAGAGCCCTCTCCTGCACAAGGCTCCTTCCCCCAGGCTCATGGCCACAGCCTCACCTTCCGCATGGCCTTGGCATGGATGAAGTGCTGATTGCACCACAGGGTAGAATAGCTGTTGTTTTTCCACTGCAGGTAAACATTCAGGTAAGTCAAGTGATCACTCTCTGGAACAGCAAATTTCTCCCGCACTTGGTCACTCTCCTCCTCTCGGCCCTGAAGGGTGAGCAAAGAACACAGACTAGTCAAGGAAAAAGCAGGGCCCCAAACAGGGAAATGCCCCAAGCTGCTGGAATGAAATGAGTACCTTAGGACGGTAAAAGATGGCAGGCACAGACAACATGGAGACAACAAGCAAGATCTCAGAGCTGCAACCCATGTCACAGGAGACTATGAGCATTTTGGAGAGCGCAGGGTCCAGTGGGAACTCCACCATGAGACGTCCCGTTGAGGTCAGACCACCTGTAGGAACAGCACAGGGATCAATGATCAGCAGCTGGGCAGGTCCCAGTTCCATGTGCTGGCAGCTTGCCTCAGCAGCCAATACCTGTGTTATCCAGGGCCCCCAGGATCCACAGCTGGTACATGGAGTTCAACATGTTGTCCTCAGGGGGTGGATCCATGAAGTGGAACTGTAGCAGGTCCTGCACACCCAGGGACTTGAGCAAGAGCACTACGTTGGCAAGGTTGGTGCGCTGGATCTCAGGCACCGTGGTTGTCAGCAGCTCATTCTTGTAAGCACTCTGGGTGTAGAGCCTGGGAACAGATGCCAAGAGCATGCTCCTCCTGTTCTGGCCACTGTGTTTCTTACAGACTTGCCAGCCTCTGCCCAGCCCAGCCTGGCATGGCACAAGGCAGCAATCCTGCACCCAGACAGCAGGACCCTGGGGGGCACCTCTACCCCAGCCAAAGCGTGTCCTCCCCAGCACATCAGGGTGTTTGGGCTGCAGCACAGCACCCGCCCAAGCACAGCCCTTCCCTGGTCTCAGAGCAAAGCCTGGGAAAGGCCTTTGGCTTGGCTGCTATCCTGATAGCATCCAGGGCGGAACAGCCACAAGTGAAGATGGGCACAGGAAGAAGCTGGAGCACATCCTTTTCTCTGCAGAGAACTGGGTCCCAAGGAGGAGTCCTTCAGGCCTGCCTATTGCCCACATCCCCCCAGAGTTCAAGATAATGAACAGCTCCAGTGAGCAAAAACATAGGTAACTTGATGCCAAGCTCGGGATACAAAAGGAACAGGAACACCAGTGATGTGCCTACCTGAAGCAGTGGCCTGGGCCTGTCCGGCCAGCTCGGCCTGCCCTCTGATTGGCATTGGCCTGACTGATGGGGTAGATCTGCAGCGCATCCATGCCTATGCGGGGGTTGAAAACCTGCAGGGCACAAGAAGATCAGATGGAAGTAAGAGGAAGGTTGGATCACAAATGCAGCAGAGATCACAGATAGTACAGGAAATCCTGGCTGACCTTCAACTTGCAGTAGCCAGAGTCAATCACAAACATGATGCCATCCACTGTCAGTGAGGTCTCTGCAATGTTAGTGGCAACGATGCACTTCCTGACCCCGTCGGGAGCCTGCAAGCACACTACACATCAGTCACACCCCCGGGCAAGGCTCTGCTCCCCTGGGGAGGAGCGTGGAGCAGCAATACAGAGCCCCAAGTGACAGGTGGAAGGGGGCACATGCTTTCTCTCACCCTCCACATTCAATACAGAGACATGTCTGCACCCCTCCCTCCTGCTCTGTACTGCCTCCTGCTCCACTTTTCCCTGTCCCCACCCCTACCACAGAGTACACATCAGCACCTTCTGGAAGATCTTGGCCTGCAAGTCCGAGGGCAGCTGAGAATAGATTGGCAGTACAGCAAGAGCAGGAGCCTTCTCCAGCTCCTCAAGGTGCTCCACAATCTGCTCTGAGGTCACCTAAACACAAAGAGGGGCATAAGCATCAGATTGAAACAAGGGGGTAGGACAGTGCCTGCCCTTCCAGCTCACCTCAATGTCCTCCTGGCCAGGCATGAAGACAAGGATGTCTCCAGGAGCACCAGACAAGTGGACCTGCAGGGCTTGTTTCACTGCAGCCTCCACGTAATCCTCCTGTGGGGTCTGAAAGGCAGAGCTCAGGTTAACAAGGGCCTGTCCTGTGTGCAGCACACTACGGCCACTCCTCCCCTGTCCTGTGTGTCCACCCCAGAGTACAGCACATCCAGGTCACAACCCCCTCCTGTCACAACAGTACTTCCCTCCACAACACTGACCATACCTTGCTGAAAAGAATATCCACAGGGAAAGTGCGCCCAGGAATGTGGAAAATTGGAACATTCCCAAAGAAGGAGGCAAACTTATCTGCATCCATGGTGGCCGAGGTGACAACAAGTTTCAGATCTGAGCGTCGGGCCACCACCTAGAAAGCAGATGAAAGGAACAATAAGGAAGGGGTATTTGTGCATGGCTGTGGGCTGCTTCCATTCTTACTGAGACAATGGCACAGGACAGAGCTTCTGCTGTCTACAGAGGCACTGGCAGTTCATGCCAGGGAGCACAGGTGCTGTATGATCTGCGCAGTTAAAAAGACCCACCAACCTTGGCCCAGGAAGAATAAGCCAGCAAAGATCTCTGTACTGAGAGTTCTGACAGTCAGTGAGACTCTGGCAGCACCAGGGGAGATTTAACCCTCCAGAACCAGGAACCCAGATACTGGAGGAGCAAGTGTAGACAGAGACATGACAGCTCTGCTTCCCTCTCCCAGACCTGACAGAGAAGGGCTGTCCCTGCCAATACTCTGCTCAAATTGCCCTACGCTGCTGTCTTCTAGCCCAGGCTCACACACACCTCCCGAAGCAGCCCGAAGAGCACATCAGTGTTGAGTGAGCGCTCATGAGCCTCATCCATGATGATAGCACTGTAGTTGTCCAGGTCAGCCTCCCTCAGTGACTCACGGAGGAGGATCCCATCTGTCATGTACTTGATTACTGTGTTCTCGGACGTGCAGTCCTCAAAACGGATGGCATAGCCCACCTGGGAAGGCAGAGATACCAGCAAGTCTTCCAACAGCCCCATGCACTCACTGTCATTGGGTGGTACCCCTGCACCCTCTGCCAGACTCACCTCCTCCCCCAGACGGACCCCCATCTCCTCACTGACCCGCTTGGCCACCGACATTGCGGCCACTCTGCGGGGCTGGGTGCAGCCGATCATGCCGTAGTCAGTGTAGCCATCCTCGTGCAGGTACTGTGTCAGCTGAGTCGTCTTCCCACTCCCCGTCTCCCCTACCACAATCACAATGCTGTTGTCTCTGAGGAAAGAGAAAAAGTATTTCTTTGTACACCACGAAGAAAAGTTTTTGTGTTCGCCAGTCAAGTGTCATCCTGCTCAGGCAGGAGCTGCCATCACCCACGGACAGCAGTGCGGTTTGTTCCCCAAGAATACAGCTTCCAAACAGCCACGAGTCTAGGAGAATTCCTCACTTGGGTTCCCAAATGTAGGCCAATGTCCTGGGGACGCCCTGGCAGCCATACCTGAGGATGGAGAGCAGTTCCTGCTGCACAGCAAAGATAGGTAGGTATTGTCTCTGCTCCAGGATTGATTTCTTCTTGGCAAACTCACTGCTGGCTTCACTTTTTTCTTTCATGTGTTCAGCAAACTTCTGCTCAGTCCTAAGGACACATCACAAGTCATGAAGCTGCTTCTCCACACACTCTGCTATACCCACAGCCCCCATCACCAGCTGAACACAGTAATTCAGAGCAAGTCCCTACTTGTAATCCACTTTGCCATCTTCCGTCACCATCTCATCCTTCTCCTCCTCTTTCTTGATCCCCATAATGTCTCCCAATTTAGTGCCCGCCAGCTCCCAGTGCTTGTGCTGTGCCTGGAAAGATAGAGAGCAGCATAACTTTACCACAAGAAGCACAGACAATCCTAGTTATAAGCCTAGGTCCCACAATTTCCCAATGCAGAATGCACATCCCACTCTTCATCAGGTCTCCCTCTTCCAAATGAATTGGAGCAGAGTTTTAAGACACTGCTATGGATACAGGCACAGGATGAGCAACCGCCTCCTAAGAAAATAGTACGCCATACTGCTACCATACTGCCTGCTGACTGTCCCTAAGCTGACTGGCATTCTTCCATCTGCTTTCTTCTTCCACAATTCAAATGTCCTTTGGATCAGCCTCTTCTGCACAAGTACACAGTGATTCATGTCCCAGGCAGTGCCCAAGGCAATCACAGCACAGCAGCTGCTGTGAGGCAATGCAGTGAGCTGGGTTGCCAAGACGTCCCAAGTTACAAAAATATGAACTCCTTATCATCACTGCTGCCAAAGCCCGAATTCTGCAGAGTCCAAACAAGACTGTGAGGCACTACCTAACATGTACAGTGGGCAGTAAGCCAAAAGGTCACAGCATACCCTCTTACGCTCCTTCTGCTCCCTGTGCTTGCGCACCAGTTGGCTGCCTTTCCGGGCTATGATGGCCAAATCCGAGGTGGCATCCTTCACAGGGATGACTGGCTCTGGCTGGAGGGAGGAGGCATTGCTTCAGTACAAAGGGCTCACACATGCAGCCATCAGTACCTTCAGCTGCAGCCTCTACCTGCTTGGTGAAGACAATCCTTCCATCCAGGAAAGGAGGCACGAGGTTGTGCACCAACAAGTGAACTTTAGCGGAGTTATCCTCTTCAAAATCTTCATCCACTTCAATCCGATGAACCACACCACTGGTCAGCATGCGATTCGTCTCCCAGCGCTCGTTATCCTGCAAGAAACAACATACCATAAACACACAGAAGACTCACAGAAAGTCCCAGAGATCACACCAGAACACTGAGCTCGGGCCTGGGCGCCACACTGGCAACAGGATGGAACTGATGGTTCCAACCTAGGGAGCCTGAAAGTAGGCATGAGGGAAGAAACAATAACTGGAAGTAGAGTACAAGAAACAGACTGGCCACACGAGCCACGTGGTCAACAGGACTGTCTCCAGGGAAATGCAGGACAGACACTGCCCACAAGGCCCCCATACCACTCAGAATACGTGAAGAAGCCTGGACATAGTCCTGCTCGTGTGCTGAGGGCAGCTGCCCCCAGCATCCACTGGGCCAATAGTGGACAATACTAGTAAATGTACCTCACACCCATAACAACAGGAGCATAGCCCTTTGCACTCCTGCTGCCTTGGAACTGCAATCCACCAACCACTTGAACTGCAAATTCTGCCCACACAAGAGATGCAGAGCTGGAATTTCCAGAGGGACACAATCACAGCTTCCCTGTGAGCCCTCCCTCAGCTTGGGCCAGGACCGAGAGTGTCCTTCTCCACTTGACAGCAAGGGCTCAGCCCATGGTCTCCCAAGGGGCAGCCTACCCCACGTGTTCAGAGCAGCCAACCCCACATCTTGGCCCTACCTCATTGATCTGCCGCCGCTGTGCTGAGATCCGCTTCTGCCTCTGCTTGTGTAAGTGCTGCTCGCGCTTCTTCACGTACTCCTCAGAGGAGTAGGCTAAGGGGTTGTGAAACTCATCATAGCCCTCATCCATCATGTACCAGTCCCGGTCAGCTTGCTGGGAAAGGAGAGGTGCAGCACTCAGCTCTGCCCGTCCCCACAGCCCGGCGGCCCCAAGCCCCTCGCCTGCCCTCAGCTCTCACCCGCTGGTCATCCTCCCACTGCTGCCGCTCCTCCTCTGTCTCAAAGGCGATGCCCTCCTCGCCATCTGCGCGCCGCCCTGCAGGTGTGCCAGTTGGTCCAGAATGCTCCCAAGGAAACCCCACAGACCCTGTGCCACAGGGAAAGGGATTCCGGACTGCCCACCCTGGGCAGCCCAGCCCAGACTCCTCACCTCTCCCTCGGGACAGCCGTGGCGTGGCTCCAAGGTGCTTCCTGTCGTCAGCCCACTCATTGTATTTGTACGACGGGGTGGGCAATGGCGTCTTGTCTGAGTACCTGCTCCTCACAGACCTGAAAACAGAGCAGGAGTGAGGAGCTGGTGTCACAGCTCAGCGCTGCTCAGAAGCACACTGTCTCCCTTCTGCAGCCCCACAGCTCACAGTCCCACCCCAGGCACTGGTACCTGTCCCGTTCCCGCCGGTCTGTGTCCCGCAGTGACGATGGCCGGTGGCTGCGCTCCGAGTCCCGATAGGAAGGCGTGGGTGAGGGAGATTCCCACTGTGAGCGACGGGTACTGCTGTAGCCACTATCATCTTCCTCCCAGCTGGAGCGAGATGGTGTGGCTGCATCTGGTAGAGGAGGTGGGGTTTGACACCTGATGTTCCAACAGCAGCCCCGAGCAACTGGAGCCACCTAACACCTTCTAGCAAGGAGCAGGGAGAGAGAGTATTCATTTTCCCTCCCTCTAAGGGCAGGGGCTGACCCAGTGATTCCAAGGAATTGCCAAAGGGCCACATTTCCATCACACAGACCCAGAACAGACCCCACTAGGCAGAGATCTGCCTGATTTTCACACATCTCTGTCCTTACACAACCAGCAGGAAGCAAAAAAAACAAACCAAACCCCTCCCTGTTAAGTCTCACACAAGAGCTCTACCGGGTCCCACTCCCACCTTTGGGCCGATGTCGGGGGCTCTCAGGTTCACTCCTCCTGCTGCTCCGTTCTGACGAGCCATCCCTTTCCGATCTGCTGCTGTGACGACTCCTGTCCCGCTCCTCTGTGAAAACAAAGTAGGATCAGGTGCCTATTGCACAAACAAGCTTCCCAAGTCTGCTGGAGAAATCACCACAAACGTTAGCTAAGAACTACAAACAGGCGGCAGGACAAGCCCAGACCCAAACCAAGAAGCACCACAAAGGTCTCTGAGCAGTTACCACGGTCCCGTTTACGATCGTGGTCCCGCTCCCTACTGCGTTCCTTCTTCCGTTCCTTCTCCTCCTTGGAGGAGGCAAAGACTCCGTGTTCCCGACGCTCCCTCTCCCGCTGCCGGCTGCGTTCCCAGAACTCCTCGCTGACACCCCCTGTGTATGAAGGTGTCTCCACGTGGACGGAACGGTAATGCCTGGGCAGGCAGAGCAGAAAGAAGAAACGCTCAGGAGTGCTGAGCTGGTCTCGTACGGCTCCAGTTTCAAGCTCTGCCATAGTGGCCCGCAGTCCCCCTCAGGCCTCCGTCTCTCCCACGCCGGAGGCCGCAGCCCCGTGACACCGCCTGTGCTCGCCCCCCGCTCCCTTCCCGGCCGGGAGCGACCCCCGCGGGCATCAGGAGCCCCCCGCAGACCCCACCTGTTCCTGCGAGCTTTGCGGCTGCTCCGGTCGTCCTCATCCTCTTCCTCGTCCTCCTCCTCGGCGCTGCCCGCCTCGTCACGACCCTCTTCCCAGTCTTTGTAGGATGCGACCCGGGATCGCT